AGTCTTTCCTGCCTCCCATGGCTTTGGCCACCATCTCTCTCCGATGGCTTGTTCTTCAGGATGCTGACAGCTTGGTTTCTCTGGGTAACATCATGCAAAGGAAATTAGCTCAGTATGTCTTCTACCAAATTCCATCTGTGGCTCAGTGTTTTAAGGTGTTTGGGAACAAGGCTAAAGAGCAATTTTGATAAGACAAGGCAATGTTCCAGTCTCTGAGAATATATCTCTCCCCCAAAAAGCATTTTTTAAAATACCACTGAACAGCCTGGAAATCTACCCACGCATGAGCAATCTCCTGCAATATACAGAAAGCTTTTCAGGTGTCACCGCTATAATAGCAGGTGGTTCCTTTGGCTAGAAAAATTATGGCAAGAGACAGAAAGAAAACTGTTTTAATATTCTGGATACAGTTTTCCCCAAGTGAATCATTCCCATATGCCTACTCTTCCCATGGGCCCCTTTCCAGAGGAAGTGGGCTATGTGAATGGAAGTGTGGAGATGCAGTCTGGTGGGCAAACTTCAGTGGTGTCCGTATTTGGCAGGTCCAATTAATCTTTAGATATATATCAGCCACTCTTCTGTAAGTCTCAAAAGGCAAAATTTGAATATGGATTTGATTCCTGTTTGTGCTTCCCTCATAATAAACACATAATCTCGTTATGAAGATTTAGTAGTGTTCATTTGATGCAAGGCTGCTTCTGAAATTCCATATACATTCATTTTAAATAAAAGCTTACAGGGAAGGCTGCGACTAGAGCAATTGGCAAAGGTGATCATTTAATTCACTTTTTGTGATGAAATATTTGAGACATACAAAAAGTTTAAAGAATAGGTATTTGGCCCTAACCGGTTTGGCTCAGTGGATAGAGCGTCGGCCTGCGGACTCAAGGGTCCCAGGTTCGATTCCAGTCAAGGGCATGTACCTTGGTTGCAGGCACATCCCCAGTAGGGAGTGTGCAGGAGGCAGCTGATCGATGTTTCTCTCTCATCGATGTTTCTAACTCTCTATCCCTTTCCCTTCCTCTCTGTAAAAAATCAATAAAATATATATTAAAAAAAGAATAGGTATTTGCTCTTTAGTGATCTTTTGCTGCTTGTAAGATAAAAATCTGTACTGGCACAAAAAGACTTCATTTCCAGACAGAAGTGCAGCAAAGCTGGAAATTAAGTTTTGCATAGTTTTTTTTTCTTCCTCCATTGTGTATAAGACTAGCATTCTTATCATTTATAGGCATACCACATCTCCTTGACTGAAAAGGGAGATGCTAGTGCCACCATCTTAACTTCAAATCAACTAAGGTCTAATAGGGAAAGATGTGGAAGCATGCTGATGAAACACTGGACTTTATTTGGATGGAAGACAACTACATGGGAAAATAAAAATAAAAAGAAACATAAAAAGAAAACATTCTGACCCCTCCTAATCTCAGCGTGGTGTCATTGGGCATATTCTTTAACCCCTCTACACCTGTTTTCTGAACTGTACAGTAAGGATAATAATAGGATTTGCCTCTTAGCGTTGTTACATGTAAAGCCCTTAGAACAGTGCTGGGCATACAGTAAATCCTCAATAAACGTTAGCTCACTTTCTTCCTTCTCTTCAACAGAATGTTAGCTCCACATGAGAGCAGTGGCTTGGTCTTATTTAATTCTGTATCCTCAGCTTCTATTTTTCCTACTGTCGGCATTCAGTAAAGATTTGCTTAATGGATTAATTAACAAGAGTAGTTAGGCTTTGAGGTTGAAAGTGAAAGAGAATTTGTCCTAAGTTTTACAACTAGTGAGAGAAAAATGGACTTTAGGTTTAGGGCAGGTAAAGGAGGTAGGAAAGAATCCTAAATTAAGGTGAGAAGGCCCACATTCAAGTTTAAATTCTTCTAACTTTAAGTGTCAAGACTAAGGGTTTCTTTCTTAATTGGTAAAATGGGAATAACTTCCAAGGTTATTTTGAGGACTAAATTAAGGTGTATGTGAAAGATCATAATAAACTATGAAGGGATATACAAACACATGATATTAATTTTTATCTCAGCAAGTTTATCCATTGGATGACAATAAAATGATTCTATGAGAGTCTTGGAAGAAAAAATCTTTAGCTAAAGATTTAAGTCCTAAAAATATTCCACCCCAGAGGTACCACAGACGTAGACTAATTTTTTCCATCTGTGCATTTTAGGGTAGATTTGGCATACACTCAATACCAGGCAAGAAAGAAACTATGGTTTAGGCTGCTTTTAAAGTTAAAAAAAAAAAGGCAGAAAAGGAAACCATTTCCTTTTATAAGCATGAATGTTAAAATAGAGAAAGCCTTCATCGAGTAATGCATCACCTAAGCAAGACTAATTTTTTAAAAATTGATTTGAGAAAGAGGAGGGGGAAGAGAGAGAGAGAGAGAGAGAGAGAGAGAGAGAGAGAGAGATTTGTTGTTCCACTTATTTATGCACTCATTGGTTTATTCTTGTGTGTGCCCTGACCGGGGCCTACAACCTTGAAGTATCAGGACAACATTCTTCCCAACTGAACTACCAGGCCAGGGCTGAAGCAAGACTACTTAATCCATATTCTCTTCTACTTTTCCCCACTCCCCTTTTATGTTCTAACTAGAGGCCTGATGCACGGAATTCGTGCAAGAGTAGGCCTTCCTTCCCCCGGCTGCTGGCACCGGCTTCCCTCTGGCACCTGAGACCCGCGCTTCCCTCGCAGCATCGGCTTTGTCCAGAAGGTCATCTCGAAGTCCTCCGGTCTAATTAGCATATTATGCTTTTATTATTATAGATAGATTAGTTAGATATTTTATATATAATGATTTATGTATTATAGTCACTCCCTCCTTGTGGAGAAAAGAAATACAGATCATTCTTTATCAGCCACATGTGACTCAGAGGTCAAAAGAGCAGTTCTTTGTGGGATAATCTCCCAGATTAGTAATATTTAAAGACCTGGTGTTCAGAGCCAGGGATTATTCAAATATTACGGCTTTAATATTAGGCTTCACCCATCAGTGCCTGAGTTTGAGATTGAGAAACTAACTTGAGGACAAA